CAAAATTAGGTCCAGATAGTTTTAAATATTTGGCATCAGTTTTTCTAGCACATTCGAGGGTACATTATAAATAAAGTACAAGGCAGTGAAGCATCAAGAAGAGACTTGAGGGTTATTTAAAAAATCACTTAGTTTTATTTTAAGATTATAATTATTTCTAGATGGCAGAGTGACTCACTCAGTGTTTGTTGTTGTTGTCGTTTTTTTTCTTTTTTTTCGTTCAGTCACGAAATGTTATAACTATCAAAGTATAAGACGTTTATTCTTTATGATACTGTAATAAAATTGCCAGGTTGGCCGTGTCACGGCTAAATTTCGATAATGTGGCCGATTAAAAAAACGGCTTGGCAGCCATAAAATTGATTGACTGTATGTTAGCTTTTGGCTGTTTTTTAGGAATGCTTCATCAATCCAGTATTTTCCTTTAAATGTATACAGTATTAGAAAATTTATTCTCATTGCCAAGAAAATTAGCTTTGGGTTTAATTGGTAGATGGCATAAAAGAATGTTTGAGATAAGCGTTATCAAGTCTTGTTGGCACCACAAATGCAGCCAGCCACTCAAGTCATGTGAAAGTTGCCTTCAGCCTATCAATTCTGATTCTTATCTTTTGACTTAAAAGTGGTTTTAATGTGAAGCTAAAATGAGTAAGAAATGGAAAGAATCATATGAAAGTGGTAGAAAATACTGTTAGGTCTGTGTTCGTTTCTTAATTTTCCGTAGAAATCCTTTCCGAGAAACTTCTGTGATACAAGTCCTTTCTTAAATAAAACTAGTTTATTCTTTCTCAATTAAACTTTGCAATACACTTAATTTCCACAATCACTTTAACTTAAACACACGCTATAATTCCCAACGATTCACGCACTTTACTTACGGTCACTACCGCTCACTTCACTCGATTAACTGTGTCTATATCTTCAATCTCTCTATCTGCTACTCCATTGCCGATTAATCCCTCCCGCTTTGATTGTCGGGCTTATATATTAGAATACAGCAAGTCTGGCAAACACTCGAACCTTCTAGATACTCATTACGTGTTACCAGATCACGTGGCTTCCGCTGTCGTAACAATACAATAAAGAGTGGGAATCAGAGTTTACGTAGATTAAAAGAGCTACAGTTCATAGTGAAGAAGCATATTGTAGACTGTGCAAAGTTCCACTGGCTCCCAGGCATTGTAATATTGTTGATCACAAAAACATTCGTCAGCATTTAAGTTGCATTGGTGCAGCCTCTAATTGTCGTCTATTAAAGTTCACTAGTGATGAACCTCGGAACGAAATTAAACAAGCGAAACTTGAACCTCCTGCTGCAGTTTCTTGTCACTGTTCGATTATGACCATTGATCATTTTGGGGGAGATCATTAGCCGTAGTAGTGTCGGTAAAATACGATTTCATCGTACTAAATGGAGCAAAATAATTATCGATGTTATATTGCCTTCTTATTATTAAAAACTAAAAGAAGATATGAAAGCCAGAAAACGCTATATTAATCGATGAATCGACATATATTTCAGCTAATAAGCACTCGTGCATTGTGATTAGATATTACAATTTGAAGAATGAGCAAAAGTGTCATACTAGAAGCAGTTGAACAAGTCGAGAAACGTTTGCCTGATGCAACAAATATTTTTAAAAACCTATGCTTGCTACATCCTGAAAAAGTTCTAAGCCAGGCTACTCGTTCTAAATTTACCGAACTACTATTTCGAAGCCTCATTACTTCTAATGTTGATTAACAATAGAGAAAAGTATTGTCTGTTGATTAGATTGAAGAAAGTGCTTTTAAAGAACAAAAAAATTCCAAATATAGCTGTTGAGTTCTGGATTGGAGTTTTGAAGTTCACAAATAGTAGAAGTGGACCTACTTTTGAAGAATTGGCGAATTATGCATTAAACTGTTTTGTAACAGCCACAAACAATACTATGGTGAGGCGCATTTTTTCTGGAGTTACCATTATAAAACGAAAAGTCACAATCGAATTTGTTTGAAAATGCTAGAAGCAATTTTAAGAATCAGATCTAAATCACAATTAAACTATTTAAAGGGAATTTGCTGCCGTGACTTTAAAGCAACGAATACAATGTTCGCAAAGTTTACGTCTGAAATATATTGTTACAACAGCGGTAGTCACGTGACGCTGGTAACACGTCATGACATTCTAGAAGGATCGGGGAACATCACGAATAATCCAGTATGTGCTAGGCGGAAATTGAGTCAAGCGCGGTAGTGACCGTAAGTAAGTGCGTAAATCATTGTGAATTATAGCGTGTGTTTAAACTGACTGTGGAAATTAAGTGTATTGCAAAGTTGTATTGAGAAAGAATAAACTAGTTTTATTTAAGAAAGGACTTGTACAGCTGAAGTTCTTCGGAAATAATTTTTACGAGACGTTTGAACAGAGACGTAACAATATAATAAAAATAACAAACTGGAATGTGAAATTGTGATGAAAATGTAACATGCGACTTAACGTTTGATTAATTTAAGGTAACTTTTAGTTTTGCCGCTCACTGGCACAGCAGTATGTCTGTGGATTTACAACGCTAAAAACTGGGTTTCGATACCCGTGGTGGGCAGAGCACAGATAGCCCATTATGTAGCTTTGTGCTTAATTCAAACGAACAAAACGTTTTAGCTTATGTTAAGTTTTACATTAATAAAATATACAAGTGATAATACACAGAAATTCCTCGATTTACGAATACGATACGGACGCTTAAATATAATTTCGTTTGGCGAAAATTCGTAATTTGGCAGTTCGTAAGTCGAGGAATGTTTGCAAGTGTTTTTTCATTAATGTTAATAAAAATTATCCATCAAATCATTCGATAACTTATTTATTATTTTAACAATATAATTCCGTGGTATTCGTACAATCCATTTTAGCTACACTCATACATAACAGCTAGCAACGCAGCACTATAATTCTTGTGCTTACAGTCGTAAGGAAATCACGATACTCGTATATTGTAAGGTTTTAGAACGATATTAGCATATTGTAAGGTTTTAGGTTTTGCGGCCAATTTGGCTTTATCAGAAACCTGTTTGGCCCAGAAGTGTTGAGAGCCAGCACAGTCCCCGGGACAAACATCCTCTCAGGGCCCCGTTCTCTCTTTTTTAACATTTTAAAGAGCTTATTAAAAAGAAAATCCTAAATTAGGACAGCAACGAGCTCATAAACATGGTAAAATCTTAGCAGTTCTAACTACATTAGTACATGAAAAAAATAATTTTAATTATTTTTTCTGTAATGTGAAATCTCAGTGTTTACCCCTAATCTTTCTAATACTTACTCACTGTTTATTTATGATACCATGCCTGTAGTTAGAAATTGATCTGCTTAATATTTCTTTTTCAGTCAAAGCGCTACTCAAATACTAATTGAAAGACCTATCCACCACGCTGCGAAGATCCCTTTTTTATTGCTCTGTTGAGTTGGTTTTCGTCTATATTAAATGTGATGCAGACCTAGTTTGTATGAATATTATACTTCAGTTTTTGATATTACCATTATCAGCTATGTTTTATGTTGTAGTCTTGTTTTTACCTGTGTAGGTTATACTTTTTACAAAGTAGGATTGCTCAGTTAGTACGTACAGTTTTGCAGTAACTTGCATAGTAAATTAATACATTATAATGTAAAATTGTAAGGTAGATACACGTGATTTTTTGAGTTACAACCCATTGGCACTCTAGTTGTTTGTGATTTTTCTCAAAGTTAGAGAGAGAGAATTTCAAATGATTTGTTGATGCAAACCTAGGTTATACAAATATTATGCTCCAGTTTCCGAAGTATACTACTTCTATTTATTGATTTCTTCTGATGTAATTAATGCTATTAAAGTGTTTCATGTATAATGAGTGTTATAAAACTAGATGTATTTTGTCTCCTTAACTAGCATACACTATAAATTCATAGAACCTCAAACACATTGAAAAAGTTGCTTAATGTTATATTCAAAAGAAATGTTCATTGTTCATAGAAGTCTCCTTAACTAGCATACACTATAAATTCATAGAACCTCAAACACATTGAAAAAGTTGCTTAATGTTATATTCAAAAGAAATGTTCATTGTTCATAGAAGTGTTGTAAAATACACAAATAATGAAAATTAAACCTTTGGGCATAGATGTTAAAATTACAATATTTTATTTTAATGGAGCAATTGAATGTGTAGTTATCTGGTAACATGCAGTATAGGATTATGATAGAACTTTTAAATTGTTTCAATATATAAGGGAAAATAACCATTGTTTTTTGTTTAATTTTAGCAGGTTATTCATATATATTAAATTTGTAAAATAACAGTCACAGCAAGACTATGCCTAATATATTTTATCATGTTTTGGTCCAAACAATTCTGAGTAAACACTGTTTATGGCAATACCACTTCCAAAAAAAAAAAAGAAGATTCATCAAACTTGAGTTGAAGCACTAAATTTGATGTTAATGGAGTTCTTAATTTTTCTTTGTCACTTCTTATGTTTGTATTGAACAGGGACTCAGAAGACAGAGAGCAGTATCCTCAGTATCATCTGGAAACCAGGAATTAAGAAAATGGAGGTTAAGTAAGGATAGCACTTACTCAAAGAAGACTCATGCATCATGGGTTATTATAAATGTATGAAGTACATTTAAGGCCTTGATTACCAGATAAAGAGGTAAACCCACAGAAAGAGAATGGGCAAGAGATTAATCTGAGTAATTTATATGTATTCTTGCAATGTATACATAATTTTTTATTTTCTGTGTGATCAGAACAGAAAATGAACAATGGAGGTATTATAATAAACCTCAGAATATATATAAAATTGGAGAAAAGGAAGGAAGAAAGAATTATGTAATAAGCATATTTGTTCAGTAATTCTTATATATAATTTATATATAATGTTTCTGTATTTGATTTATATTTTAGTTGTTTGTATCTAAATTGCAAGTTTTAAACTTACAAAAAGTGCATTAAACAAAGAAGTATTTATAAAAGTGTTTTAATTGCCTAGAAATGTTTTCTACATATTAACAGTTTTAATTTTTTAAATCATTTCTTTGACATTTCGACAGAAATTTGCACAATTTTTGTTATTGGCAAAAATATCATTGTAATTTTGGATATTTTATACAGCATTAAATTTTGATTAAAGGCTTTTCTGATATATATTCTGGTAAGGATACATTTTATTTACACATTCAGTGTGCAGTTTGGACAGTTTTTTACACTTATCATCATGTGCATACACTGTCCCATTAAAAGTATCCAGACATTTAGTTTGTTTCTTCTTTTTCTCATGATGTTTATATTGTTACTTTAAAACCAAATATGAGTTGCCTGTATTTTTAAGTTTTTCTTGATATCCATGGACATGTAAGTGTATAGACATATCACGGATAAGTCCTAGATCTAGAATACAAATTGCATTCCATACCATAACACTCCCAGGAAACCCCTTTGGTTAGCACATTACAATAAAGAAAAATTACTTGCTTGTCTGCTTTTGTACATATATTTGACCATTATTCAAAACTAAGTGAAACAGAGTTTGTCACATAAAACCAAAACATCGAGATTCAGTGCTGGTGGGCTTTACTTCAAGCTAAGTAGTATTGAGATTCTTTGGAATAATGTACTGTTGTCAAATTCCCATACACTTTTCCAAATAACCCATATTCATGGAGAGTACACTGCAGGTTGTTGCAAAGATATTGTCTTGCCCTTTATAATTATCCTAATGAGTAAATGTTACACTGACAGCATTTTCATATAACCTAAATCTTTTCTTTAGTTGCTATATGATCAAGTTCCTGATATTAATGAATGGTCTAAAGCACAGAAAACCATACAAAACATTATAATCAACCTTCGCTCAGAAAAATAGCAAAACAAAAGTTAATTAAATTCAAATATAGCCATTCACGTATATCTATTCAAAAGAAATAGGATTTAAACTAACAATGCATAAGACCTCATCATGTAATTCTTTCCACAAGTTTATGAATAACTACAAGCAAAATATTTAAAATAATAATAAAAAGTTATATCACGCTTTTCAAACCTAAAATCTATAACCACTAATATTGAAGTTTGTATTTCCAAGCGTTTGCTCCACCATTCAGACTATCCATAGGAAGACTGTCGAAATCTTTACCAGGTTTCTAGAAAAAAAAAGTGAAAAACTGTAAGCTTCTTTTCATAGCTTAAATTAAATAAATCTTGTAGCCTCTCTCTACACAGTAACTCATTGATATCCTTCCTGTAATGAAGGAACTGAAGCTATGCACATTACTCCAAATGATGTTTCACCAGGCTTTTACAAGACTATAATAATTGTATTTACTCTTTTTTTTTTCATCACAGCTGAACATTCAGCAGGGCAAGGGTTTTATCAATACATAATCATACATCAATTCTTCTTTTTTTCCAGCTACTTTAAACACACTTCTAACCTATTGTGTTTATATTCACTGGATTCCCTTCAGAGCATGTTGGATGGACCATGTTACATATTCATGGCATTTCCAGCAACTTTTGATGGGATTGTGTTTATTACCTGATTTCAAGTTTAAATGTCTACAGAAGGTTGAGTACTTTATATTAAAATGACTTTGAATATGCAAATCTGCAGATACATGACACCTACAGCTGATATAAAGCTGTAGTGGAATGGGATGCATCAGAACTACATTTCAACATTGTTTGGCACTTTTTAAATAGTGTGATGGCACTGGAAATTAATTGCTTTTAGGAAGGGTATATAACAACTCTTTCTGATGCAAAATATTCACAAACTTAGATCATAAAGATATGTTCAGGTTGGGGATTTAGGATTTTCAAGGTGGGGATATCTTTTGTATTTAATGTAATTGGAAAACAAAAAAATATGAATCAACTTGGGGTACTAGGGTCATACAGAAAGAGATCTGCAACAAACTGTACCTTAAACATGATAAGCAAAACGTGGTGTCTTGTAGCAGTTGAAAATCCATAAGAACAATGGTCAGTGGCAAAAGCTGTTCTTGGCTCAGGCAACAGTATACAACATAGTCAAGAAATATCTTCATCTGGAAAAGTAACACAAGTTACATATGTACAAGTTGATTTCATGACATATAGGTCCAATCATCACATACCTCAAGCAGGTGGAGAATTAAATGGGTATTCATGCTAATCTATACAAAGATATATCAGAGAAATAGCTTGATACAGCCCCAACATATTTTCTGTAATTGGACTGTTGAAACAGGGGCTGGAAAACTGTTGTCTGTGTGCACAAAATGGATTATGGAAAGCCATCAAGGAGGATGGGTGTGATTTGGAAATGACAGCTTTATGACAGTAATTTTGCAATGAAAACTACACAACAGGGCTATTGTCAAGATTCACCAGATGTGGTAACATGGATTGTTGAGGCTACAAAACCATTTTGATACAACATAGTCAACTTCTGTGAATCTTATAACTTGAAAAAAAAAAAAAAGACTGGTTAAAATCAAATAATACAATTATTGTCAACCTAAAAAAAAAATTGTTGTGAAAATTTTCATAATTAAAATATACATTGCTGATTGTCAGGTTTTTACGTATGTGTGGGCCAGATTCTTTACAGTAGGTATCTGTGACTTGTTGGCAATAAATTTCAACAATAACAGCACAAAATCTGTTATTGCAATACAATCTGTGATTATTACACTTTAAAAAGTCACCACTTAACACTCTTTATGGCTAAAGTTACAAACACAAGTCTAGATTTATTTGACTATATCTCTCACTAACTTACTTTCTTGCACTAACTTGGTCAACTATATATATATATATATATTACCCGACTGAAGCCTAGAACTTTCCATAAACTACAATACATTATGATGCAACAATACTCACTTAAAGCAACAATAAAAATCCAGAAGGTTTAAGTAACATGACATCAATTCACAACAATTAAACTGCACAATATATGAATCGTAAACAGCTATGAAAGCAAACTTGCCATAACTCTCACTTCTAAAAATAACTTACTTTGATGCTCGCATGGTTGTTGTTGTCTGTAGGTAGCAGAACTAAGACCTTCTGTCCGACCTTGAAACATCGATCCTTGTCCTACTTGTCACAGAAGTGTTTCTCACTGCCTTGAGCTGCATACAATCTTTCTCAAACAAGTTGACAGGTCTCCTCCAGTAAGTTTCTGAGGTCTAACATGTATTGGTATGTGTTACTCACTTTTGACTCTTCCTCTCAAGTCCACAGCTCTTTCAATATCTACATTGGACCTCATACTGTTCTTCCGTAGGTAGCTCCAGCTGCTTTATGTAGAAATTTCTGTGGTTGCTTGTTAGTGACAGACTTGCACTCATTTGCAATGTGCCCCATTTTATAACAAGCATAGCATCTCTTTGCTTTCTGATGAGATTTATGCTGTTGCTTGTTGGCAATAGACTTGCATTCACTTGCAGTGTGTCCATCTTATAACAAGCATATCATCTCTTTTCCATTCTGTTTGTTGACTTGTTGCCTTTGGTGGCATCCTGCCACTGGTCAGCCACCACTGGCTTCAACTTTAACTGGTTATTCTTGGACTTGCCAGTTATACTCCCTTCATGGGCTTTCATATACTGTTTTGCTAGTTTGATCATCTCATCAACATCTTTCGGCACTCTCTCCTTTTGGAACAGTGACATGTCAGTGGAGCATGTGGTCATGAACTGATCACATATTAGTAGACTTGCCAGTCCTTCAAAACTATTTTCACATTTGGCCACGTCAGTCCATCTTGTGAAGATTTGCTGAAGATGTGCCACAAATTGAAATACAGTTTCTCCAGTGTTAGGTTTAACTCCTCTGAATTTCCAGTGAAAACCTTCCTTGTTAAATTCATAGCATTTCAGGAACACCACTTCTAACTTGTCATAGTCCATAGCATCTTCCGACATCATGCCCGCATACACTTGTGGGCCATTTCCTATGAGAAGTGGATTGGGACAGACTGCCCAGTCGCCTCTGTTCCAGTTCTGATTTTGGGTGAATCTTTCATATCTCTCCAAGAAAGTATCCATGTCTTCTTTCTGTTCATCAAATTTGGGTAGCTTGGGTCGACTGGTCCTGACTACATTGTTATTCTTAGGTCCTTTGGGTGAGCTTGGTGATCTAAGTTTGTGCTCTTATTCTTTCTATTTTCAGTCTCTCCTTTCGTTTTCTTCTGTCTCTTTTTGTAATCTTCTCCTCTCTTCTCTGCCTCTCCTCCTCTCTCTAGTTCTTGTTCAACAAACTCTCATAGATTAACATCTTTGAACCCATGTTGCTTAACTCTCTCTATCCATTTATCAGTCAGTCACATGGCTATAAGGTGTGGTTGTGACCTTTACAATATTTTTGCCACTACTATAGCTGTACATATATGGGCCAGTTCTGCTATCGTTTATACCTTCTCTTACCTCAGTTTATCACTGTTTAATCCTGGCTTGCCAGTGTCAGGTTTTTATGTATGTATGGGCCAAATTCTTTACAGTAGGTGTCTGTGACATGTTAGGGATAAATTTCATAGTCTAGAATGATCAGCTGAGCTGGCCTTAATTCAGCCAACTCATAACCTACAATCATGGCCCCGATGAGAAAAGTCCAGGTTTATCCCAATATTTTTCTATGCAAGATAATTTGAAGACATATAATAGAACTTGTACCATTTAATTATGAATTAAAGTATAGTATAAAAAATGATTAAATGCTTCAGGAAGCTATGTGCAGTGCACCTGCAACTGAGTTTAAACGTACACTGTCTTTGTGTTAAGTCTAAGGACTAGAATTTGAAAATCACTAAGCATTGTTTAATAACTTAACAAGCATATTGTATAAACTGTATACTGTGAAAAATACTAATACCAGTGTATTAAATAAGAATATATGAACAGACCATCATGATAATTGCACTGAAAGCATGAATCTTATATTTCACTATATATATTTAATAATAAAAAATGTTAGTTCTCAGATGGTGGATCATCACAGAGTGCAACTATGAGTAAGGATACTACTTAGTAAACTAATTACCTTTTAGATCTGTTCCTTTTGGAGACTAACATCCTTTGCAAAGTTTTTTTCTTAACCTATTGATTAACACTTAATTTAATGATTTATTTCATGTTTTAGGTAATACATTTTTACTAAAGTAAGCTATAACACTAAGAAAATTCATCAAGATAGTTGACAAAAAAAAATGCTAAAACAGCCTTTAATTTGGCTAAATTTAATCTGTAATTGTACAACCTTTAAGTTAAAAAGAATGGCAGGTCTGAATTGTTGTTTTGTAATTATGTTGAATATACATGTATTTATCGATTTTGTTTTATTTAAAGACAATGTTAATTTAAAATTTACATGCACCATGTGTTATAAGAATGAGTTTTTTTTAACATAGTAAATATACTTTGTCTCTTCTGTTTTCATTCTGCCTGATGATAGCCTGAATTGTGATACAAACATATACATTATATAATTGTTTTTTAAATAGTAAGTAATTATGGCTTGAATGGTGTATTACTTTTTGTAATTAAATAGAACAGGATATGAACAAACCAATTAAGCATCTGGTTGTTTAAAATTATGCTTCAAGATTCAACTTTTGTGTGCAGGACCCCTGTTATTTGATAAACAGAATATGTAGAAAGTGTATCACTAAGACCATCCCTTTCAAGACAGAGTTGTAATTATCACATATTCAGTAAAAATGTCAATTGTGACAAGATCAAGTCTAAGCATATCATCTTGACCTATTTTCCTGTTTTTAAATTGGTCAAGGATTTATAACCTTTTGTTACCTGTTTGTGTGAAATTTTAATGAATTATTCAGACTTTTGTAAAATCTAACAGCATCAGGCATGGTTGCCATTTTCAAAAAACAATAAAAATAATCAAATTACTTATAGTTATGATGTCCCACATTGTTAATCAAATTTAAAATTATGGTGTCGCACATTATTAATAAAATTCTTGTGAAATGGGGAGAGAGGAAAATTACATAATCATGGAGTAAAAATAATTTTATTTTATATAATGTACATTTATTTGTTACTTTTAACTGGTGCAATGCCAAGATATTTCTTCACAAAAAGGAAAGAGCATGTCACAACAAAAAAGATGATATATGGAAAGACAGAGAAAAAAAAGTGCCTGTAATGTATGGAAAAAAGAGGTACGTATTGTGTTATATTTATTCACTTTAAGTTTCTTGCACACATGTACAAAATTTTGTAATATTTTTTTTGTTCTAGATATAACAGCTTAAAATTCTTGCTACTGTAAACAATTGAAGACCATTAAATATAATTGTTTCAACTTTTTTGTACAGGAAAAGCATAATATTTTGCAGCAGTTTTTTCTATACACTCTTAATTCATATACATGATCTTAGGAATGTTCTTTGGTGAATACATGGGAACTATGTCATCTAAAATGCGGTTGTGATGCGTTGAATTTATTTAGATTTTTAACTGATATCGGGTATGGTTCATTTTTCAGGGTTGAACTTCTAGAAGCCTTACAATGAAACCACAGTAACAAAAGTTTGTCAATATGACCTAGTAATTGTGAAAATATGTCATATGGCAGAATAGAAATTCTGTTGGTAGTGTATGTAAAGTATCATTTGATTTGTTGTAGTGGTTTCAACTGTTGGTGAATTAGGTCAATAGTATGCATGCTGTACACACCTCCCAATACGGCTTGTATATTGGTTCATCACAAGTATCATAACTGTGTAAATCAGTGGCATCCAAACCTTTTTCACTGATGACACCCTAACTCACTTACCTTGATTTGTTGCTATATGCAATATTTTTTTTAATATATTTTTTTTTATGCACATAATTATTCTTCATTTGATGAAACTCTCATGACACCCCACAAACTTGCCGTGGCACACTGTTTGGAAAATGCTAGTGTAAAGGGTGTGTCCACTCATATACAGATTGTTTTACTGAAGAACTGTAAAAAAAAAAAGTGTGAAAAATAAAACAGTAGATTATTTTGCCCATTTTATTACCTAAAAAAGTATTATAACTATACCTTATTTTCCACATTTTGTAGAAATCAAAAAGATGAACACTAGCTTTACAGAAAATAGCAATTAGTGAACAAAAGAAAGCTATAATTAGAAAATTTCTGGAAACACGATACATTTTAAGTAAAGGGGAATGCACAACTAGAAGATTTATAACCAACCAGACATAATGGCAATCAGAAAAATTCAAGGAATACGAGGACAAACTTGATTACTAATTCTTAGACAGCTGTTCTAAAAAAAGCAGCATATTACTACAAAAATGAGTTGTAGATGGAGAAAGACAAAAGGTACCACCAGAGGTTTTAGTGGATTGTAAAAGACAAAAAAGTGCCAAGTCGACTGAATAAGTCCACAAAGCCCATATACAATTTGAATTTTAATAAAATTCTTCTTAGACACTTGTTTATGATAGTAAATAAATAAATACAGTTAAAAAATTATTTTTTTTCCAGTTTACACATGTGATATTAAAAATAATATTGTGCAATATAGTCATTAAACAAATAAACACTTCAGTATTGGTATTAATTTATGATTTTGTCTCCATAAGTAAAGCTTTTGTTACATATTTGTATCCTTTGGACACCATTATTTGACTTTTCATCTGTTTTTATTTTTTGGACATCAGCATTTGGTCTATTGTTACCCATTTGCATCCTTTGGATAACCAATAGTAAACCTTTTGTTTCTTTCTTCCATTTTTTAGATACTCACAGCTGTCCTTTTGCTACCTGTTTTCATATTTTTGACACTAACATTTTACCTTTTGTTACCTATTTCAACTTTTGGTCACTAACATTTAAACTGTTGTAAATCTATATGCATCTTTTGGATACTCACATTTGATGTTTTGTTATCTGTTTGCATCTTTTGGGTACCCCTTACAAAACATCAACTGTAGGTATCCAAAAGATACAAACAGGCTTACAAAACATCAACTGTAGGTATCCAAAAGATACGAGTAGGTTTACAAATAGTAAAATGTTAGTGTCCAAAAGATGCAAACAAGTAACAAAAGGTCAACTGTCCTGTTTGTATCTTTTGGATACCTACAGTTGACCTTTTGTTACCTGTTTGCATCTTTTGGACACTAACATTTTACTATTTGTAAACCTACTCGTATCTTTTGGATACCCACAGTTGATGTTTTGTAAGCCTGTTTGTATCTTTTGGATTCCTACAGTTGATGTTTTGTAAACCTGTTTGTATCTTTTGGATTCCCACAGTTGACCCTTTGTTACCTGTTTGCATATTTTGGTTACCAACATTTTATCTTTTGTTGTCTGTTTGCTTCTTTGGACACCAACAGATCATCTGTTTATAATGTTTAAATGTTGATTTTTTTTCAACTTTTAATGGTCGAAAAGTTTATGTTTTGAATAACTTTCAATGCAAACAAAAGTGGGCCAATGGAGTATTTTGAAGCGCCAAAAGGTATGTGAGAGTCTGATCTCTTAGCCTTTTTGAATTTTTGTAAAATGTGTATAAAAGTTGACAAAAGGTGCATAAAAGATGGCTTTTTTTCACCTTTTGTCAACCTCAGATATATCTGATACTCTACATAGAGTAATAATTTGATATATAAATTAATCTATAGAACAGTATAGTATGAGAAAAGGATATCCATAAACAGTCTTGTAAAATGTTACAGTAATCTTACTCTTCTACTATAAATTCTTATTGATACAGCAGCCCGGCATGGCCAGGTGGTTAGGGCACTCGACTCGCAATCTGCAGGTCGTGGGTTCCAATACCTGTCCCATCAAACATGCTCGCCCTTTCAGCCATGGTGTGGATGTTATAATGTTATGGTCAATGCCACTATTCATTGGTAAAAGAGTAGCCCAAAAGTTGGAGGTGGTTGGTGATGACTAGCTGCCTTCCCTCTAGTCTTTCACTGTGAAATTAGGGATAGCTAGTGCAGATAGCCCTTGTGTAGCTTTGCGCAAAATTCAAACCAAACCTATTGATAAAATCTGTACAGTTCTAAGCAACCACAGTTAAACACTTTGCTGAAAGACTTCTAGTTCTCATCCCAAATTCTTAACCACAACACCAACGTTAATTTCACACACACACATAGGTATCTCCTTTATGAGTTTCTGTGTCCTAATTGTATGATTTTACACCCATCAACATTTTTCAGGTATATGCCCATTTACATCGCGAGAAAAATATCCCTTTAAAATTTCCCTGGAAACAGTCTTTCCTGCTTTGAAACTTGGTATCAGTAGCTCCAAGAGTAACTAAACTAATTATTTTGTCTTAATCAGAAAACTTGTTAATTTCCTGCTCTCCATTTTGTACAAACAACCAAATTTTCAACCCACCTTTTATTTTATTTTATTTCTCTTTGCCTAAAGAATATAACTTGGAAATTGACATTTTACGCATTTCCTTATCCAAAGTTTTCTGAGCAGGAACGTCGAGAGCCAGCATGGGCCCCCTTTCTCTCTCTCTTTTTTAACATTTTCAAGAATTTATTAAAAAGAAGATCCTAAATTAGGTCAGCAACGAGCTCATAAACCAGACACAATCATAGCAGCAGCCGATTTTACCTCACAGTTTAAGCGTGAAAACGTTCATAAAGTAACAACAAATATCTATTAAATCTATAAAGTAACAAATACATATTAATTATTACTCAAATTATTATTTCAGTCGTTCTTGATGTATCAAGCGTTTATAAGAAAAGATGTTTTTTATCATTAAATGAAGATACAGCCTAAAAATGCTTTAGGTATAACCAGGTTTCTTTCGCCCGAGCCCCCTGGGAAGTTGCCCCCTTTGCCCCTCCCCCCTTCGGCGGGCCTGTTTCTGAGAATCAAAATAACCTATTTTTGTAGTACTATCTTCATTAAAAAAAGCAAAAACTTACCAAAATACTCTAGTGTATTTGTGAGATTTACAAAAACTTTCTAAGCTTCCGTATTTTATCAGATTTTATGATGTTTTTCCAAATGCTCCTAATTTCTAATAATTAATTTTAACACTTTACTGAAAATAAAAATCACCTGCAGGTCTACAATTTACAGAATTATCAATTTAACACTTCTTAACAATTTGTCAACTTAAAGTAGAGTGGAAAATATTATCTAATTTTATCAAAATGCATAAAAATAGCTGTTTTAAAAAAGAATAATTCTTATGATTCCTAAAAGTTTAAAGAATCTTATTAATTTTGAAAAGAAAATTTCTATTAATTGAAGGAATATTCATGTGATTACTTGTTTAAGACCCATGTGATTAAGACCCCTACAATAAGCTATACTTCATTTGACTTTCCATCTGCCATTGTTCAAAGGCTCGATATTGTTACGACAGCGGGGGTCACGTGACGCTAGTAACACGTCATATTCTCGAAGGTTCGTGAAGTCTCGAGAGGCTACTAGATATGCGGTAGTCTTGTATATATAAGCCGCCAAGAAGTGACGGCAACAAGGTAATGTAATGTATAATTGACAGTTGAGTCGAGCACGTGAGACGTTCGTTGTGAATTATAGCGTTTGTTATAGCGCGACTGTGGAAATTAAGTGTATTGCAAAGTTGTATTCAGAGAGAATAAACCAGTTTTATTTAAGAAAGGACTTGTATCGCTAAAGTTTCTTCGGAAAGAATTTTTACGGAAAATTAACTAACGACTAGAGACGTAACAATATTGTATTTTACTTTTTTCTGCTGTCCAGTTGGATCTCCACGTTTAATTTAGTTTTGTTGTATTATTCTCAAGTTAACCTGATTTCTTCAAAGAGTATTAGGTCGGTCCACTTAATAATGGGAGTACCAGCAGAATAAATTACAAAGTGGGCCTCAATTTAACTGAACTGAGTTTAAGTAAAGAAATAAGCAAACTGAAAAACCATGTGATATACAAAGTTAAAACAATCTTTATGTCAAAGACAAGCACTGCGTAGTTGCACTAGGACAAAGGATGGTCATCTTTTATTGGACTCGTGAACATGATCACCTGGCTTTTTCCCTCAAGGTGTTTTCTTGTCAACCAACTCTCTTGATATCTTGTGTAGTTATGTTTAAATATAAATTTTTTTACATGGCAGGAAACGTCGGATTTATACATAAGGATTAGCACTATCCACGTGACTGGTTATTCTCATTCAACATAAGAAAGGCCATAACTTCTAGATGTCACCTGCTCTACCAATGAAGGACACTGTTGTCACCTGCATTCTTACACATAGTGCAGCATTATAACAAAATATATTAACATGTGGATCAGGTATTATCTCTAGAGAACAACGAAGAAACAAAGGTAACTAGAAGTTATCCAGGTTTTCTGGACCACGTTATGCAAAAACTGCATATATTCCAAATAAACGAAAAATTTTGAAAATTACTCTTTTAAAATATAAAAAGTTTAAAATGCACGTTAACTGATATTTAAGCTACTTTCATTTACCTTTATATACCTCAGTATTCACCATCCTACCGTCATTTTCACAAGCAACTGTATTTGACGTTATTCAGCATTATAGTTTTATTTTACCTGTTCATCTACTCATATAACTAAAAAATATTTCCTAGTAATAAAATAATTGCGTGGGCGAAGAAATAATAAAATGTAAAATAAAAAATATAATAAACAGTTTGCCAAATTAAAATAATTTTATTGGTGAATATGAAATGGCCCGGCATAGCCAGGTGGTTAGAGCGCTCGACTCGCAATCTGTGGGTCGTGGGTTACACCAAACATGCTCACCCTTTTAGCCGTGGGGATGTTATAATGTGACAGTCAATCCCATTAGAGACGGGTAGCGCAGATAGCCCTCGTATAGCTTTGCGCGAAACCCATAACAAACAAGAATACGAAACAGCCCTTCATCATGTTTCTATTTTCTAAAAAAATTCCAGGCTGATAGGCTTTCACCTGATAGGTCTTTGCAACACATCTTCTGAAATTAAAAAAAAACAAAAACATTATTTGTAAGGGAGAAGATTACATTAAAGATTAGTTTCATAATAACGTGTTCGTGTGCTCATAATAACATCATTTTTGTGTTCTTAAAATTAATTAATAATTAAGTGATACATTTAAGTTCAACTGAATGGGTTACCCAGCATCATCTTTTGTACTGAACCAGGTGTAAGTTTGTGAGGTTTTGTTACGACGCTGCACAATGAGCTATCTGCGCTCTCTCCACTGTGAGAAATCAAAACCTGGATTTTAAGATTTTAATTTCATATACCTACCCCTGACCCACTGAGGATTTCATATATAAGAGTGTAGGTTAATTAAATCAATGTCGGTAATTATGGATATTGAAATGAAAAGCCTGTTAGTTTGTTTTTTAAATTTCGCGCAATATTACTTTATAGCTAATTGTTTTAGCCATCCTCAATTTTGAAGCGATAGACTAGAAACAGTTAGTCAACACCACCCACCGCCAACTGTTGAGTTACTCTTTACTACGAATAGTGGGATTGACTATCCATTATAATGCCCCATAGCTGAAAGGGCAAGAATGTTCAGTTACGGGTTTCGATCTCGTAAGACTGAGTGATCATTTATGGACGTAATGTCAACATGTGTTATTTTCCATTGTATAGTGAATGTAATAAAAAAAAACTTTCCGTTGATGATAAATAAATCAGAAAAAAAACCCATTGGAAATCATATAAAAGTTTTACACCACGTTAAAATGTTTCTTTATTTGGACTCTTTCGAACTTATTTTTAAGACCATCATCATACTATGAACAGAAAGAAACAGTGTTTGTACTGACAGCAAACAAGACCACTAAAGGTTTCAACATCGCATTTTTATAATACTTATTAAGACTAGATGAAAGAAAGCTAAACATTAATCTATTCAGAACATTACATTTCTTGTGACCTGTTTCTAGCTAGCTTCTTCTAAGTATTACAGAATAAATTGGAATTCCAACTTTGACTGAGTTTGGAGTGAGAAAGAGATTGGACACAAGGTAAAGAAAGTGAAAATAGATTTTTATTCACACACATACAAACAAATAAATGCTTAGAATGTATGTTTGTTTTAGTGCAAAGCCACATCGGGCTATCTCCTGTGTCCACCGCAGGAAATCGAAACCTGTATTTTAGCGTTGTAAATTCGTAAATGTATTGCAGACCACCAGGGTAACGTAAAGTAACAAATGTGCACGTAATGCTCATTTCCAACTGACTGAACAATTTTGCCTACATAAATGTGTGTGTATATATATATATATATATATATAATA